AGTTTCTTTATCTTCCTGTAGTTTCACCTCTAATAGGTAGCTATAAAGTTTTTAAATTACTTTTTCATCAATGCCTGTTAAAATTTTGTCTAACTCAGTCATTTTATCATAAAAACCCTCTATTTTTTTATCTTCATTGTATCTAGAATGTATTTGCACATATGAACACCGATTAATTTCGATTCCTTCCTGTTTCAAATCTTGAATGGATTTAAGTTCACCCTCTGTATTTAATAGTTTAATAGTTCAGCATATCTAACTGTTTGTTCCTTTTTATATATTATTGAATATGAAAAGGCTTCAATGGTTGATATCCAGACTGGAATTTTTAAGTAATGTAATTTCTTAATCTTCTCCCAGTTTAATAACAAAGTCTCTCTTATATGTCTTCTAAAATAACCATGTGCTTTGGTTCCCTTATACCATAAGAATGCATGCCATCCCAGCAGCAAGTCGTGATCCTCTAAGTTCAAAAGTCTAACATTTCTTAACATTATCCATTCCTTAATCCACATCAGACTTGTTGCCTGGTAATATAGCTCCCAGTCAGGTAAGTCAGCTAACCCTAACCTCAGACCTTTTCAACTGCTGCAAATAGTCCCACTTTTTCTAGATGTTGCAGCCCCAGTTCAAGTCCCACAGCCTTCACGAAGTGTTGGAGAAGCTCTTCCAGATTGTTCCGGGAGAGGATCCATACAGGTGCCGGGAATCCCCGTCCTGCCGGCGCTGTGCTGTCGTGGGCAACTCAGGGAACTTGCGAGGCTCCGGTTACGGCCAAGACATCAATAGACACGACTTCATTATGAGGTGAGGAGCAAAGTGTGGGAGGACCTGAGAACTTGGGGGGGGGGGGGAAGGCAAGCAAGCAATTTGTGCAAGTGATCCATTTATCATGGTTTTCATTATGCTCTGTTGCCATCAGAATAATCTTAAAAGTGGATGCATCTATAAATATACTGATCCAAACAAAACAGGCCCAGAATAGGGTCCTCAGAAAGTTTTCCGAGTGTTGCATCCTAAGCCAAGCAGACTGGTTAAATGTTGTGTCCTTCAATCAGATGGGATAAACTCTTTTAGCAGATTTGATTCTCTAAATAGGTCAGCGTGAGTGGGTATGATAGCTGCTCCTAGATAGTTCTGGCTGAAGGCAGCAGAGTTGCGAACCAAACTGATCAATACAATTTGTTACCTACATCTGTCTAACAGCACCTGCAAACTTCAACAGTAGGCCAGGAGTCTAATCCAGGGTTGAGGAATTCACCAGCACGAGGTTCAGAGAGGGAACTAGCACGGAATAAACCACATTCCTTTCCTAGAAAGGAGACAACAAGCCAAGCAAGAATCATAAGGGGAAATCATAAAATAGACCTTTTCTGAAGACCAAACTTTCCTTGATCACACCACCCCCAGCGGCATCCTCTCCTGCCTTGGACTGGGGCCAACCCTTGGAAGGACAGCTGAAGGCATCTCCTGCGCCTCACACACTTTTGCTTTCTTTCCTGGCTCTTTGGAGCCTTTAGATCAGGGATGGCTAACCTTTTTGTCCTCGTGTGCCAAAAGCCTGCATGTATGCACAACAGTGCGTGTGTGCTCACACCCACAATACAATGTGTGTGTGACACCCCACCCCACCCTGTGCTCCCATGCCCCCGTGCCCAGTTTTGGGCCCAAAGGTGTGGGGGGGGAATACCACGCGCCCCTGTGACCCATTTTGGGCCTAGCAGGCCTCCCTGAAGCCTCCTGGGAACAAAAACAGGCCATGACGAGGACACGCGGCACTCTCCCCACCCCCTGTGCATGCTTGTGCAAACCCCTGGGGCCCCCGTGCATGCACACACGTCTCCCACACGCGTGGCAGAGACCCAACATTCAGCTGGCCATTGGGAGGCACATGTACATGCGCAGTGGATCTTAGCTGGGTGAGATTTTGCATGTCCATGGAGAGGGCTCTGCATGGTACCTGTGGCCTGCGTGCCAAAGGTTCGCCATCACGGCTTTAGATGTTCTTCTTGGCCTCTTCTGGTGGTGTCATTTGTTTCAACACGAAACATTCAGTTTATCATCAGCCACAGTTCCAAGTAAAGAACTTTGTACTTGTTTCCCTTAAATTTCAGTCAATGACTTTTATCCATTTTCCAGCCATCAGGATCAATTTTATTTCTGTCTTCTAAGGAATTAAATGTCTCGCCCAATTTTATATTACTTCCATTATTCCTTGTCTGGCCTTCAGGCGCCTTGGAAGATAGCTTGACCCCTTTCTCCTCTCTGTGGGAGCCCCTCAAATATTGGAAGGCGGTTATCCTGTCTCCCCTGGTCCTTCTCTTCACCAGACTAGCCAGGCCCAGATCCTGAAACCATTCATCGTATGTTTTAGTCTCCAGTTCCCTCATCATCCTGGTTGCTCTTCTCTGCACTCTTTCCAGAGTCTCAACATCTTTTTTATAGTGCGGTGACCAAAACTGGATGCAGAATTCTGGTTGTGGTCTTACTAGGGCTTTATAGAGTGGTATTAGTACCTCCCTTGATCTCAATTGTATCCCTCTGTTAATGCAATTTTGGATTGCATTGGCTTTTTGGGATGCCGCTGGACACGGCTGGCTCCTATTTAGCTGCTTGTCCACTAAGACTCCAAGTTTCCACTCACAGTCACTGCTATTAAGCCTGGTTTCCCCCAGTCTATATGTGTCCTTTTGGTTTTTCTTGCCTAAGACTTTGCCTCTCCCTACATTGAATTCCAACTGTTCTCTGCATTGAATTTCAATGTGATTCATTTGAAAATGTGATAAGCATTCCCATTCCAGTTCCTCATCCAAGCCATTAATAATCATGTTGGAGAACAATTGGGGCCATGCTTTTCAAGACATTACTTGATTAAAACATGAAATGTGGTTATTTCAGGTTTAAGACTGACCACAAAAGTGTGACATGTTCCTTTCCCCCCCCCCCCACCCCCACTTTTAGGCAGTCATGGGGAAAACATTCCTAACTATTCTCTCCATGGAGATTCTCATGGTTGCCCCAAAGGTGCTTTTTCAAAAGGCAGCTGAATTTTCTTGGGTTTTTTCCTTGAAAATGTTTCGCCTCTTGTCCAAGAAGCTTTTTGGGTTCCCTGAAGAAGTACTCGTGGATGAGAGATGAAGCATTTTCACAGAGAAAAAGACCAAGGAAGCCTTTTGAAGAGGCACCTTTGGAAAGTACTGAGCTAAATTTTAAAGCCGAACCTCTGAAAGTGTCAGAAGGTGGGAAATTCCGTTTAGCCACGTATTGCGTCATTGCTGTGCATTGTCTCGGGGACAAAAAAGAGCCCCAACCCTCTGCAGAGCAAGTGGGGAGGCCCAGGGTGGAGTGAGAGTCCGTCTTCTTCCTTTTAAGGATCAAGGCCTGAAGAAACATCCTTTTCCCTCCGACAGAATGAACCAGGCACCTACAGTGGGCTTTGAGGCAGACGTTGGCAGCAGGACAACCCATCATTTCATGTACCCTGAGAGTGCCAGGAACTTGCCTGCCAACGTCAGCTTTGTCCTGGTGCCCTTCAAAGCCTTGGACCTGCTGTGGATCGCCAGCGCCCTCTCCACAGGCCAGATCCGGTTGTAGGTATCTCTGGGGGAAGCTGATTTGAGGAGGAGGGGGAACTGGGTATTTGGGGGAAGGGTCCACCCCTCTCCTTTTTATCCCTTTCCAAAGGGAAGCTGATTGCTGTAGCTGCCACGGTGTTGCCTTCGCAGGCAGTTCCTAAGGTCCTGTGGCCAAAGTGGCTTCAGCTGCCCTCTGCGTGTGGCCCTTGCTGCCCAAGAGGCCTCTGGCTGGGAATGTTGCTTTCTACGTAGGGCTGCCCTGGAAGACGACTCGGAAGCTGCACCTGGCCCAGAATATGCAGCACAAACAGCAGACCCCCCCGCCCCCCGGGGTGATTGCCATGCACCGCAGGCTTCCAGGGGCTGGTGATCTCCCAGGAAGCCCTGCCTGGCACAGGAGCAGCGTATTGGAGGGAGTTCTCCACCTCCAGTTCTCTGCCATCCTGCAAAACCAGATACTGTTGGCATGCTCTGTCTCTCTTATGGGACCCACATCCGAGCCTTCTCTGTCAGCAGGTGCCCCATTGAGCAGCTCCAATAGTACCAACATTGACGCCCTTTAAGAAGGACCCAAAGACCTCTTTCTCCCAGGTCCCGGGTCCAGATATTGTATGAGTTATTGTCCTAACTTGGTGCATTTAGTTTTATTTAGTTTTATTTTATTTATAAAATTTTATATGGCAAAGTCCCCGAAAAGCTGCCCTGAGCTGCTTGGCAAGCAAGTAGCCATACTAATAGCAATGGTAATCCAGACCCTGTCCAGGAAGGGCTGAAGAGCAAGAGAGCCCCTCTCTTTAACTCCTCTTCCTGTGCCTCGGACTAAGGACCCCCCGAGTTTCCTCTCCTTCAGGTAGGGAATCCTCTCTTGGAGAGAGCTGGCTAGCTCAGAGAGCCTCCGGTTCCTTCTAGTCCTTCCACTTGGCAGCTGCTTTGGGGTTCACCTTATTTATTTATAAAATGTGTTGGCAGCCCATCTTATCTCCGGGTTAGCTCTCAGAACAAGATTCTCCTCCAGAGGCCCTGTGCCATGAGGGGCAGCTGAGGGTTAGGTATCGTGGCTGTGCTGGTCAGAAGCAGCTGACCCTGGTTGGAGAAGGCACCTGCCTGCCCCCTTTTTTTGACTGTTCCACTTGTGAAGGGGCCCAGATCTTCCAGCTGCCTCTCTCCCTGCTTCCTCTGGCAGCTGCTTCCCCCAGGCTCTTCCCTCCTGGAAGGGAGCAGGAGGAGTGCAGGCAGCCTTCTTTGTTTCCCCCCACATTTGTTGAAGCCTTGCTTCTTCTCTCCTGTGTCTCTTGCAGCACTTACGCACCGGTGAAGCCATTCCTCCGGGTGGACAAAGAGAGGGTAAGTTAGGCACAGGTTATTTACCGATTACTTTCCACATTTATATGTACCCTGTGATGTGCTGTATCCCCAGGATTTACTCAAAACTAAGGAAATGAAGGAAAGCACTTTATGAGAAAGCATACAAAATAATGACAAAGCGCAACCCCCCCTCCGAGCTTCCCAGTGCCCACCTAAAGAAAGATTGTCCAAGCTGCCCCTTGGTTCATTCTGCGTCCCTTCAGCAGAGAGAACTGGGGGGGGGAGCACGGGGGCGGAATGGATAAACCACACAGGCAGATTTCACCCATCATCCTTTAATTTATATCCCTGCATTTAGCAGTGGGTTGGACTGGGTGGCCCCTGGGAAGGTTTGATTTTACTTGTTTTAAAGTATTTGGTGGTTGCAGAAAGTCTGGCCCAGGACTCTCTGCCCTTGCTGCCACCCCCTCTTTCATGCCCTAGCCCTGCCTGAATGGGTTGGGTCATTCTGATATTTTTGAGGGTACGGGGAGGATCAGAGGGCGGAAAACCCTCCTGAGCCTTGACGTTCTGCTTTCATGCTATGAAGCCTCTGGCCCATCTGTTCTGAGGAACTCCACATGACCTCCCCGACCAGGGATGGTCCTTGAGTCTCACATATTGTACATCCTGCTTTAATTGCTGGGATTATTTTTGCAACTTATGTGTTGCTTCAGTAATGTTATTTTTATCTTGCGCGTAAACTTTTCTATAAGGCAGTATTTGGACCAGTAGATGCCACCAAACCTGGAAACAGACTTAGCTGTGCCCTCTGAATCTCTGCTGGGGCTTCACCCAGAGATCTGAAATTGGGCTGGCAGCGCAAAAAAACCCTTCTTAACTGCCCCTTTGGTTTCTTGCCTTTAGGTTCAGATCTACAATCCAGCATTCTTCAAATACATCCATGACCGGTGGACGGAGCATCATGGCCGCTATCCCTCCACAGGCATGCTGGTGCTCTTTTTCGCCCTGCATGTTTGCGATGAGGTCAGTTTTGGTAGGCCAAGCAAGTTGTCCCAATGGGAGTAACAGCAGCAGTCCTGCTGATTAAATGATGCTTATACTTTGATTTTTCACTTTGAAAAGAGTTTTAGCTATAGTTTTTCCTCCGACATGGGATGTGCAGGAAAGGGGCTGCGTGGTCATCTGTTCTTCTGAGAAATGGGAGGCTCTCTCCTGAACCCCCAACTGACTTTGTCTCAGGCTTTGGGTGGGTCACCTATCAGCGCAGGGTCTGGATGAAGAGGCAGGAAAAGTGGGATAATGAAGCAGGATGGCTGGCTAAAGCAATGGGAAGAAGAGTCGGGAGAATTACTAGAGATGCTCAAGCAGAGGCCCGGCAGCCATTGAGCAAGGAGGCGACCTTGAGCCAGATCATCTCTGAGGTCCAGTAGAGGAAATAGTTTTCCTTCAGATTCTTCTTTTATGTCATGTCAGACGTTGTTTTCTTCTTCTGGGTGGGGGTGGGGCAGCTTAGAACAGTCTTCAACGTAGGGAAGCCAACCAGGAAAAGGATGTCAGTCATTTCTTACTCCCATCAATTGTGGGCCCACTTCAGTAGGAAACGTAGGCTGGCGTCTAGGTTGCCTGGAGTTCCCCCCAGTGAGCGGGTCTTCTTTCCCTCTCCCGGTGACAGGTCAACGTCTTCGGGTTCGGGGCAGACGGCCATGGCAACTGGCACCACTACTGGGAGAACAACCGCTACGCTGGAGAGTTCCGGAAGACTGGAGTGCACGATGCAGACTTTGAGGCCCACATTGTGGACATCCTGGAAAAGGCTAACAAGATCAGTGTTTATCGTGGCCACTGAGGTTTCCAGCTGCTGCCGGGCAGCCTGGCTGTCAGTGGCTGGGTGAGGAGGGACGGTTCTTCTGCACCCGATGCACCATTTGGCGTCCTTTTTGAAGAGGATGAAGAGGAAATGAGGAGCTGAGGGAGGGAAGGACACCAAAGCCGCCGAGGAGGCTCCAGTGAAGCAGATTCAGGCAGAGAGCAGCTCAACTCCTACTCCTCCCTGAGAACAAACCAAGGAGATGCAGGAGCCTCTGTAGCCCCTGAGCCAGGGAAGGAGAGAAGAGCCACAGTGGTCATTCAGGCTCCTCCTCCTCTTGCTTCTGCCCAAGCCTGACTCTGCGACTCCCTTTTGCCTCCACCAAGCCCCACGAGGGGCACATCGGACTCTTTTTTTAAAATTAAGCTTTTCTTCAGTACATGAGAGCAGCTTCCTACCTTTGCCCCAGGAAGTGATTTTTCTTTTTCTTTTCTATACCATTAGATCCCAGGCTGGATTGCATTTTTGCCCCAGACACGTAAACTCATGTAGAAACCTTGGAGGAGAAGCCAGGAGGAGCCTGCAGCTTTCCTGGAGATGGTGAACATTGACTCAGGGCCTGGTGTGCTTGCAACGAGGGTGGATGCTCTTGTTCCCAGAGCATCCCAGAAGTCCTGCCGAAGCTCTCAGATTTTGCAGGCTGTGACTTGGACTCTTCATTTCTGTCCTGCCCTCCAATGTGGCAAGATTTCACCCCTTGGCCTGGAGGTTCCTGGCCGCCCAGGCCTCCTTCCTCCCTCTCTCCGCTCGACATATTTCCAGTCCCATGTTCTGTTCATGGCAGGGATGCAAGGAAGGGCTGCCCTTCAGATCTTTGGGGCAGAGGGCTCTGCCTCCGGGTTACAGCCTTTCTCCAGGGGAAGAAGGAAGGGGTGGTTGACAAACGGGTCCAATCGAGTCAGAATCCCCAGGCCTTCCAGCATGAAATCCACAAGCGATTAACATTTTTTAGCTCACTTTCTGCAAAGAGCTAGCAGTTTTAGGCCTGCCTTCGCCTTGTTAGCCAAGGGGAGGGCTTCAGGGTGTGGTATTCCTGCCTGCTCTCCTTCATTGAGAGCAAGAGAAGGGGTTCCCAAGTCGGCCCAGCTTCCTTCTCTTGCCCTGAGTGCAAGAAACAGGGGGCTTCCCAGTTGTTTTGGCCATTAAGGTCTTGGAGACAAATGGCAAAATCAAGTTGCCCATAAGCGGTTTTCTTCAAAAGGACAATCCCAGCAAATGATCACTGTTTTCGTTCTTGAAATAATTGAATTCCAGAGCATGAAGGAGCTGTGGCAATGGTGGCTTTTCGTTACGAGTATAACTAAGAATATTTCCCCAAGATGTTCTTGGAGCACTAAAAAATAAGAAATGGTAGCAATGGTGGATCTATAAACCAGCCCTGGCCTTGGCCGGTCAGTCGCTTCTGGCTGACACCAGGGCAGCTTTCTATGGTCATATGGAAGTGGAGGGTACCCTCCCCAATGGTGCTGGGTCACCCTTGTGCTTCTGGGACAGCATCAAATCTTATTGTCACCCCCCCTCCCCTCCGCCCCACTGCAACTGGATTGCAGTTTCCCTTTGGTGAGCCTTGCGACGCCCCTCGGAACTCTAGCTTGGTGCCCTGAGATGCAGATACCTGCAATCAAGGAGCTGGCAGGTTCAAGTGTGCCCAGGATCCTGGACCTTTTGGCCTTCTCTCAACCATTGTTTCTCCACAAAAGAGGTTGGGGGAAGGTCCCACAGTCAGCTGACCTTCCCCCAACCTCTTTTGTGGAGAAACAATGGGAAACCGCAATCCAGGTGCAGTAGGTGTGGGGGGGGGAGAGAGAGGGTGCCAGTGTCATCAGGACTGACCTAGAGTAGGCACTCTTGATGCCCTGCATCAAGAGTTGCTTTGCTTTGATTCTACGAACAAGGATTGTGTGGCCTTGAGCTCTTTCCCCCTTGGTCCCTGCAATTGAGGTACCAGCTGGAAGTATGGGCATGGTGCTCCCTGGGCTTTGGGGCTCCAGGATGGGAGCTGCAGCCTTCTTCCCACCTCAGTTGCAATTGCAACGCCTCCAGTTCACATGGGCACTTTTCCAGGGGGCTTCCTTAGTGAACTGTTGATAGCTCTTCACACATCTTTATCCCACTGTCCCTGGATGGCATGGCATGGCATGGCATGGCCTGATAGAAGGGCTGGCTAATCCCAGGAGCTTCTGCATCTGGCAGAATGGCTGCCTGGCTGCACTGAAACTGCCATTATTTCTTGGGCTGGGCCCGCAGCCGGTGTCAGAGTGAGGGGAGGGAGATCTTCTGGTCCCTGATGGTCCAGCTTGGGCTTCTTCCTGTCCCAGGACAGACCTGGCCAAATCAGTGGCTACTTCAGCTCCCAGCGGTTGGGAGCGGTCATTGCCCAATTCTTGCAAATCTTACAGGCTCAGGAGGTCCTTCAGCCAAAGGGTTTGTTTTCCTTCCTGCCTTGGAAAGCTGCCTCTGCTCCAAACCAGTGATGCTGCCCCTCCTTTTGTGTTTTTTTAATTTCACAGGCTAGTTTGGAAGAATGGGATTTGTTTTATGTTCTGCTACACAAAATAAAACCTGTACCTTTTCCTTCTGGGGACTCCTGGTATTTATGCTGTAGGTGTCCTGGACCCTTTTACAGCCACAAGAGACCCTTGGGAGACAGCCGAGTCAAGCTGCTGCTACTGACTCCACTATTCCAAGCACAGACCCCAGTCTAACCAGCACAAAGTAAGATGGAACAACGTCCGTCCATAACCTCGAGGTTGTTTCTGTTAAAGCATCCCGAGATGGAGAGGAGTGGCTGGCCGGCCAATGTTGAGCTATCCCACCTGTGTACCTGGTTGCTTTTCCTATGCTCCCCGAAGCCATTTCACCTACCCTGCAGTTAGGAGTCCCAGTGCCCCATGGATTCACCACATGGGTGGCACACCTGGACAAGGCCTCCTCCAGAACCTTCCAAAGCTTACAGCCTTGCTGACAGGAACCCTCCTGGCCATGCCTGTCTTGTTGGTAGCCTCTCTGGCTCAAAACATCTAGTCCAACCTTGCTCCAGCAGGTGTGGGGAAAGGAGATTTGGGGCAATTGCCTTGTTTCCTCCTCCAGACTGTTCCCATATTCATAGGACGTTCAAGGACATCTTCCCTTTTGGCTCCTCACAGAGATCAGTCAGTCCCATTCTGTTTCCAAAGGGCCCCTCCTCTTCTAGGTCTGCTTTTCTGTGGAGAACGGCTGACTTGCCATGAAGATCTTCACAGTCCCCATCAGCAGAGCCACAGCAGGGAGAACATTGTGGGACTAGTGGCCTGCTCCATATTCTTTTTGAAATTTGTCATCTAATGCAGCTGTGGATCAAGCAGGAGACGGACACCTTTTTCAGGCCTCCCGTTCCCTTCTTCCTCTCCCCTCCCTTCAGGGCAGTTCTTCAAATCTCATCTCACATCTGTTCCAGCTGAGCGTGGTTTCTCCCAAAGGCAACCATCTTTCCCTTAGATCACGGGTGTCAAACTTGCTGCATTGCACCGTCACATGACATTTTGTGATGTTTCCCTCTTCGTGGAGCTGGGATGGGCGTGGCCTGCATGTGACGCATCTGGCCCATGGGACGCCAAGTTTGATACCCCTGCCGTAGATGTCCTGCATCTGCTGAGCCTTGGATCTTGTCCACTGCGCTTGAAAAATGGCACCCACCATGTTCATTCCATAGTGGATGAGTGGTGATCTCCCTTAACCTGACAAGTATGCCTGGTTGGTTTTTGTTTTTACTTTTTATTAAATTGTATCGAAACACCTAAGCATGTGCATGCAAAGACACAGAGACACACATAAAAAAGGAGCACAAAACCAAGCATCCACATTAACATTCCTATATATCCCTATAATTGTATAACAGAAGGCACCCACAATTCTCCTGCTCGACATGAACCATCGAGTCAAAAGGGCTGAGCTTTAACCTGCCCTGAATGAGCAAGAGAAAATAGGGTTGTTGCTCTGGCAACATGGATGATTTTTGGAAAGCATCTGCCACAGTCCTGTTTTTGTTTTTAGTGTTAGCTCACACTGAGTATTTATTCAACTTTTGGAGCATGGATTGAAGTTGCAGTTGGGCCAGATGTATAGTTTGCAACCTGATCCACCAAAGCAGAAGAGATTGGGGGGAAAAAACCAGTCTGCCTAAAACTATTCCAGTGCATAAAAGAGAAGAAATTACATTGTTTTCTTTTAGGGTTTAAACATGCTAAATTTGAAAATAAATACTTGCAGTGCTTTCCAGTGAAGGATACTGTGCTTTCATTCATTCATTCAATTTATATGGCTGCCCATCTCAAATCCATAAGCAACGGTTAAGTGTTACTTTTGTTAAAGAGTATTTTTCTTTGCAGATTTTGAATAGGAAAGAATGAATTGCCAGCAGAAATCATTCATTGATAACTTGGAGAATCAGAAGTCCTTGATATGTGAAGAAAAATGGCAAATCCAGTGAAAACATCTGTCTATGCAACCAACATAACAATTCATTGTGCATTACATCCCTGTAGCGATATTGATGGATATCATGCAGAAATGGAAGCAGAAGTTTATTCCAAATCAAACAAATTGTTGAAGATGAAAGGCAAGCATTGGCTGATTCTATAAAAGACAGCCAACAGGGATGCAAGTTTAAAATTGGAACTTGTGGAATGTGCAGGAAACAAAACCTGAACATTGAAATAATGTAATAAACATATGAACAGAATGGTGGCAAGGAAAAGAATTACACAACATGGTTAATTTCTACAAAACAGTGGAGAAGGTTAATGCAACCTGGGAACGATTTACAACTGGAACATTAAAAAAGGAATCTGAAAATTTTGGCAGCTCAAGAGTAAGCTATTTGAACTAATGCAATCAAAGCCAGAACTGAAAAATTGTCATTTCAAAGTGCAAATTGTGGAGAGGCAAAAGAAACAAGTAGACCATATATTAAACCTGTGTAAGAAGATTACACAGATAGAAAAATGGAAAAAAAAAAGTTAAAAAGTCAAAAGTGAGATTAAAATATTGTGCGATTTCTGAATATAGACTGATAAAGTCTTGACTCAACACACCAGACTTAACTGTGGTTGAAAAGAAGGAAGTGTGGACAATGGAGGTGGCTATATCAGGGAATAGTAGAGTAGGAGAAAAATCATTGGAGATCAGGAAGCATCAAAATCTGAAAATCCAAGTTGAAAGATTATGGCATAAACCGGCCATGGTGGTCTCAACAGCCCTGGTTAGAATGCAGTATTGCAAGTTAACTTGCTGCTCACTCCAGTTCTATCCTGACTGGCTCAAGGCTGACTCAGCCTTCCATCCAAGTTCAGTAAAATGGGAACCCAGATTGTTGGGGGCAAGAGGCTGACTCTGTAAACCACTTAGAGAGGGCTGTAAAGCACTTGGAGTGGTGTATAAGTCTAAGTGCTATTGCTCTTCCTTTCCCCCCTTCTTTCCTTTCTTCCTTCCACCCATCCATCCACACATCCATGTTGTGCAGTGGTTAGAATGCAGTATTGCAGGCTAAATTGCTGCTCACTCCAGGAGTTTCTGAGCAGCTCAAGGTTGACTCAGCCTTCCATCCTTCCCAGGTGGGTCAAATGAGGACACAGATTGTTGGGGGCAAGTGGCTGACTGTACACTGCTTAGAGAGGGCTATAAAGCATTCTGAGGTGGTATATAAGTCTAAAATGCTACTGCTATTACTATTTGCACACTGGGTGCCCTACCAAAAAGTCTCCCAGCTGTCATTTGCAAAAGGCTACACTACTTGTGCTACACCAAGACCTTATTTTGTTTTGGGGAAGAACTTGAGGTGTATGATGTGCCTTCACATTATTATGAACAGATAATAACAATTTAAGTGAGATGGGTGGCAAACAAATTTAATAAACAAGCACCAATGGGCAGGCTTCTCATTCCATGATCTAGGTGTGTTACCTAGAATTTTAATGTTCATTATTAGCTTTTTAAAGGGTGATATTAGCACTTTTAACATGGCAGCTCTGGCCTCTTTTTTAGCTTTAGAAAACATGGATTTTTTTTTCTTCTTGGCTATTTCTTTTTATATGCAGGAACTTGTCATTTCAGCATTAAACAATAGAGAGAGTAGCAATAGCAATAGCAGTTAGACTTATATACCGCTTCATACGGTTTTCAGCCCTCTCTAAGCGGTTTACAAAGTCAGCATATTGCCCCCAACAACAATCCATGTTTTCTAAAG